GTTTCCTTTTAATGCACCCTGGTACTGACTTACCTGGGTCTTTCCCTCAAAACACCTGGCAAACAGCATTTGAGCAGTCCTGCTGCAGGAGAACAGCTCAGGAGGAGCACAAGAATATTAGTTATCAAGAAGCTTCCAGCCAGGTGAGGATTTGTTAGTACTGCTTAGCCCAGGTGGCTGAACCTTGGAGGAAAAAAAGAAAGAAACGTTAAAAAAAAGGGGAAATAACGGGAGCTCTTTAACATTTCCTTTCGCTGCCTTTCCATTTTGCCAAATGAAAATACCTAGATAGTAATAATACACATCTGATGTGATAGTGCTTTTGTATTTCTCTGTCCCTGACAGACAGGTCTCTGAAAACTGAATTGCATGTGAGCTTAATGAACATTTGAATCTGTGGGGTAAACTTTCTTTCAAACTAATAGTTTGAAATACACCTTCTATGGGAGAACATGAAACATTTTTTTCCAGTGAGGGTCAAGTGCATTATAATCTGTTTCAAGGATTGTACTTGTGCTTGTGTGTGTTCCTATGCCTAACACAATATTAATCCAGCTTTACTACACCCCTGGTAACATAACACGGGCTGTGCTGGATTTAGAGCTGCTGAGAGTCTGGCCCTTTCCTCCTATTGTGCTTGGATGCAGGAATTCCTCTAAAAACAGGCTGCACACGGAGCTTGGCTGCCTGCAGACTTCACAGCAACAATTCAGAGAATGCAAGATACAATGGCTGCGATTGTGCAGTAGCAGGTCCTCGGACAAACAAATACCTCTCCATAAATTAAACCCTCAGAGAAACCTGAATTTTGGCAGGGAGAGAGGAAAATTCCAGAAAGAAGAGAAAGCACCAGATAATTCTGCTGCGTTTTCCCTGCCAAAAGCCCAATGTCCAGCTTGGAAGCGCCCATTACCTGGGAGTAGTCATCAGCCAAATTAAAGATTCTGTCCCTCTCCCAGCTGCAAGCACAACACTGCTCTTACCATGCACAACACAAACATGTGGCCAGGCTTGTCTCCTCCTCAGCAGGTGAATAAAGGAGTAATTGCAGGGCCAGATGCTGCAGGAGTGCAGCCCCAGCACGGAGCCAGCTTTAACAAGGCATGGCTGAGGTGCCGTGGGTATGGCTTGACAGGGAGGAAGTGTACACAAGTGGAAGGAAAATTGATTTAGGGAGACACGGAGTTGCATAACGTCAGTACTTTGCTACAGGACATTTATTAACTCTGAAAGGATGATTAAAAAAACACGGTAGATTAGCATCTCGGCCCTGTGATGATTTCATCTTCATAAAAGAGAAACATCTTTTATGTTTTCTGTTTTGTTTCATGGGGAGCTCTCACTTCCCATGAAAATGGTTTTAAACAGTTTCTCTGCACTTACAGCACACTACAAATCACTTGCACAACTGAGGTGAAAAGTGCATTTAGATGGCTCTGCCTGGGTTCTGCTCCTGCTCCAGTGTCTCACCAGCTACACACCAGTACTGGGAGCTTGCACTTCAGGGCTGGAGCACCTTTCTAGAGTTTATGTCAGACAAGGCAGCTGCTCCAAGCTGTCTGTCTGAGAACAGGACTTAGTTTTTAAATAAACTTCTTTTTCCCAGCCTAATAGAAATCAAGAATTTAAAAAAAAAATATTACCAAACCTGCCCCCCTGTTCCAGCAGAACACTCCTTTTGCAATTATTTCCATTTCTTTCCTTTGTGCACTAACAAAGAACACTTTCAGTGAAAACCCTGTGTTTGCATAGCTTCAACTGCAGGTCTTCAAAAGACCCACTGCAGACCAGCACACATGAAATCCCCATCAGAACATGTACACTTCAGTCTGCACTATTATACAGACATCACTGTGTTAAAATTCTCTGTGCATATCCACAATTCTGAGATAAGACACATTTTGTATTCTCTCCTTTCTTATATACCTACTGCTATCACCTACTCCCTGAAGCAGCATAATGTGTTAAATCATTAATCTGTGCATATATGTGGTAGGTACTGCTTTGTAAAATCACTAAAAATGCCTAAAAAACTTTATGCTGGTGCCAGTTTCCAAGTGTCTCACTACCTCTTTAAGTACAAGTGGTGCAAGTGCTTCATACTTTGTTTCTGAACAGATGGGACAAGCCTCAGGGCTCTGGTGACAACAAAACCCCCTCACACAGGATGCAGCCCCCCCACCTGTGCCTGGGATGGGATTCAGGGTGGTCATGAAACCAGAGGGGCTACATCTGGGTCTTTACTGTGCCATGAAGACCCCGTCCAAAACCAAAGGTTTTTCTTGGGCTGTACCCATTTCCCACCTGGCTGCTCTGAGGGTGAGGGGGTTCTTCAGTAATGGTTTCATTCTCCATTAGCATAAAGAATCATAGAATGGCTAGGGTTGGAAGGAATCATCTTTGAAGCTCACCCAGTCCCACCCTCTGCCATAGGCAGGGACACCTCCCACTATCCCAGGTTGCTCCAAGACCTGTCCAACCTGACCTTGGACACTGCCAGGGATGGTTCAACCACAGCTTCTCTGGGCAGTCTCTGACAGGGCCTCACCATCCTGACATAGAACAATATCTTCCTAATGTCAAATCTATCCCTGCCCTCTCTCAGTTTGGTTCACTGCCCCTTGTCCTGTCACTCCCTACCTGCTCTACTGAACAGATGAAATTCCTGCGGTCCCTCTCCAGAGAGACCCATCCCTGGATCAAATGGGACTGCCTGAGGGGCTGGAATAGATGAGCCTTAAAGGTCTCTTCCAGCACAAAGTATTCTATGGTTCTGTGACATAATGAGCATGAGTTTGAGCAGCACTGCTGGACGGGAGGTAACCACGATCACCCCGCAGTCTCTGACTCTGAATACTCCGGTACGCTGGGTATTCACTGAGCGTGAAGTTTGAGACAGGTTAGTGCAAGTGACTCACCAGGTCACCTGGTCTTTTTGCCATGTCAGCTGCAGTGAGCTGGCTTCATTTCTGCCCCTGGAAACCCAGAGGAGCACTGCCAGCTCACACTTGCCTTCACATGGCAAAGCAATACATCGATTTTTTTGGTGAATTCAGACCCTCAGCTTCATCCATTTTTATCTCCACTGTACAAGTTGACTGAACAGTGACTCCAATACTTCCCATGCACATTACACCCCATTCTGCAGACTCCTGAGTGCAAACAGCTCCTCACTCAGCATGCAGGGGAACACCCAGGGCATGACAGCATGGGTCTCACAGGATCACTGTGCGGTGCAGCAGCACTTTATTTTATGGGTTAGCAACAGGGAAAGCCCAAGCTGCTTCCTTTAAAAGGAAAATGTATATGCACTTTCACCAAATTGAGAGCATTTATCTTGGCTGGAAATTTTGAATTAACTGAAAGTACATTCAAGTCACTTATTCCAGAATAAAGTATGAAAAAAGTGCAAGGTTAATGAATTAAGGTAATGAAATATAGCAAACTCAAAAAACAGCCTTTCCCCAGCACCTCTCTTTCCTCCTTTGCTTTTCTTCCTTAGCCTTTTTATTCCAGGTCCTTACCTTCATGTCCTACACAAAGCCAAACTCAATACTATTTTCTATATACTGGTCCTGTAATCAGCTTCTCACATGGAACCTGTCCTATTAGCTGGGCTCTTCCAGAAGGTGGAAAATGTCCATTTATTATCTGTGCAAATATTTACTGCTTCCTGAAAGGTCACCACCAGCCCTCCAGTACCATAAGAGTGAGAAACTGCCCAGGATTAACAATGGTGCATTAAACAGGCATTTCCCTACGCCAGCTCTGAGCTGCTGAACCACACTGGAGGGACTGGACGTGCAATGCCCAGGGGTGAAGCAGCCTAAGTGTCTCAGCACCTGTGTTTCTGAGCTATGGGTTCTCCCCCTCAAAGGTTCATAAGGCTTTTGGTAAAGTTTTGAGTGAGTCAAGGTCTGACACAAGACCTGTGTGTCTGTATCACCCTATTTAGACTATCAACTCCCAATTTAAATTCATTACTTCTTGAATAAGCTGGTACTCACCAGTGAGACCTGAAGCACCACTGGTTCAGTCTTCACACACCACCACACTTTGTCTGCTGTTTGCTTGATAATTTCCATGAACTACTTCAGGAAACAGAGTATGCTCCAGGAACAGGGTTTTTTTTATTTATTTGCTGATTTCATATTCAGAATTGGCTCTTAGACAGACAATGAATTGGGTAGAGGCACTGTTTTTTACCGTTAGCTCTAAGCCTCTGATCCACATGCCTGAATAATAATAATAATAATAAAATCATAATAAAAATCATAATAATAAAAAGTTGTCTAGGCTGTTTGAGGTCCCAAAGGTTATTCCAGCAGTACATGTCCCTAAGGGGACCCCATTTCCCAGTCCTACACCCCAAAAACCTTACTTAGGCCTAAACACCTTTGCTGGGCCTACAACAGTTCCCTACCTTATTTAAACATTTTATAGCACCTGCTAAATTTAATAAGTGTATTTTCATTAGTCCCCAAGGGTTTCTTACTACAGCTTCCAACGTGCAGTCCCCAGTATTGTCTCAGCAGAGAAGAAAACAACATGACAAAGGCATAGTGGAAAGCAGGAACTGTGAATTTGGGCATCAAACTCTTGAGTCAATGCTGGGTTCTTCTAAAGGCTGGTCAGCTTAAAGTGCAGCTCAAATGAGGAAAAGGAATGTATGAATGCATGTGAGTAATGGAATAAAGCACCATGGACAACCTCAGCACAACCTGAATAAATTCAAGCTGGAAATATGGGTTAAGCAGCAGAGGAGTTAATAAATGAAACATATTCTTATAACTGCATGGAAGTCTGGAAGGACAGTGAAATGAAAGAGGGAATGTGGTCATGGAGACAAAAGAATCAGGTGTTCAGAGTAAGGATTTTCCTCTTTCTAGTTCCAAAGTAACACACAGTGAGCAGTTACGCAGTAAAGAAAATAAACAGGGATCAGAAAGATACATTGTGATGAACTCTCTTTTTTACTTTCCCCTTGAATTTTATCAAAGGTTCAGAATATCAACATGGAAAACTGCGTTGATGTCAAGATAGAAACCAAGGGGGAAAGGATGCCAATGAAGCAGAATCCACTGAGCACAGGTGGGAAGAGTTTCTGCAGAGCTGTGGGTTACCTCACTGGAGACATGAAGGATTTTGGAACCTGGCTGAAAGGTAAACCTGCTTCATAGTGACTAATGAGAGAGGATTCCAAATAAAAAGTACATCAAAGGAGTAATAACTAACTTCTCAGCTGACGTGATTCAATTTAGAGTAGTACAGGAACTACCTCTACCCTGATTTATGTCCATTTTGTATGGGGGAAAAAATCAGCTTTGTGCAGAGATCCACATACTGCCTAAATCTTGGGGATGTCTGAGATGACATTTATCTCCCAGCATGCCATGAACAAGGTGAATTTAGTCCCACAGAACATAGCCCTGGATGGTTATTCTGTACTCTGCCATTCTTCTTAACACTCCATGTCCTTTCAGCTGAGCAGTTTCTGTCAAGCCTAGTGCCACTGTGAAGTTAAATTACACATAGGTGGGTGTGTTTGGTCCCTGTAATAAATCAGCAGTGGGATACACACACGATTTGCCATCTGAGCCACAGACATCATAAATTAGCTGGTTCATATGAATCTGGTCCAGGGTACTTTATAACACAGAGTTCTGGCAACCTCACTGTTCATCTCAGTTTTCCAGCTGTAAGACTTCAGTGTAGACCATAATAAATCCCTGTCAGCTTTTACAGTCTTGTTGATTCATTGCTTCAGTCGTGGTGCCAAGTCCCACTGCCAAAACTCTTCCTGAGTTTCAAAAATACATCCCAAATCAGTACCATCTGCAGACTTTAGGGGGCTTGTTTTATTACTGAATTTAATCTTTTCCAGACAAACCTCTCATGATCCAATTCCTTGACTGGGTGCTGCGTGGGATATCCCAGGTGATGTTTGTCAACAATCCCCTCAGTGGGCTGGTCATTCTGACAGGCCTCCTGCTGCAGAACCCATGGTGGACACTCACAGGATGTGTGGGAACAGTTGTGTCAACTTTAACAGCACTTATTTTGTGTCAGGACAGGTAAGTCCACCCTTTCCCCCCTCCCCAGGTGGCCACTTCAGTGCTGATTTATGTGTTAGATGTTTCATGTGGATGAGAAGCCTGAATTTAGTGGGAGGCGTCCCTGCCCATGGCATAGGGTTGGAACAAGATGGTCTTTAAGGTTCTTTCCAACCCAAACCTTCTATGATGTGTGATACAGCCTTGACTGGGCACATATCTGATCTGGTAGGACCAGACAGGTCCTCCCAGCAGCTGCACCTGGTGCAGAGGGATTCTGGACAAACCTGCAGAAGGGGTAGGCACTGACCCAAGTGTGGAAATCGGATGTCGGTGGATGAGTTCCAGCAGGTCATCCCCAAACAGAGCCACAGCTGGGTGGGGAGGGAGGGCTGGTGTGAGCAAAGTGTCCTCAGGAGAGAAGACTTCAAGGCAGCTGTTTCCTGCACGCAGGTCAGCCATAGCAGCAGGCCTGTATGGATACAACGGGGTCCTGGTGGGATTGCTGATGGCTGTCTTCTCTGCTGATGGAGACTACAACTGGTGGCTCCTCCTGCCAGTGGCACTGGTGTCCATGACCTGGTAAGTCAGATGGCTCCTCTGCTCCTCCTTCCAGCCCCAGAGTTCCCACATGTGAGAATGAGTTGTTGTGTTTCTATGCAGACGGCAGTGGAAAGGGAACACAGCTAACACATATGTGCTGTTAAATCTGCATTGTTATTTACACCTTTAAACTCAGATGTAATCCAGAAACAAATAAAAATACCCACATAATCACAAAAAATCCCAGTGGGGACAACAAAAATCAGAGCCCAATCATGTGTAATCCAATATTCTGAATGTGAGTCATATTGCTGTGATGCATCAATTCATTTCTGTTTCAAGAGGAACATTATTTTCACCATTTCCTACCATCATCAACCACAAGTGTTTCGTCTATTTAAGTCACCATATAAAAATGTCATGAAAATTTAGTTCTCCAAGCACAGAAGCTGTTCAGTGTCCCAAGACATGATGGTTGACACTAATCAAAACAAACAACTAATAATATTTCACTCATATATACAACACCATAATCCACTAGGTATTTGGCCAGCAAAAAATTTTGAAATCTGGTCTTTGACCCTAGAATGTCTAGTTGCAGATTGCTAAAACCACACATGTAATTTGTCTGCCTGAAGTTCATGTGGAGTTATAGTCACTTTGATGCCAGCTTTCACTGCTGATCCACAAGCTTGAACAAGGGCACACAGCCACATTCACAGTTCACAGCTCACTCTCACCCAGCATGGGTATCATAGTCTCAGTCCACTTCAGGTGCTAAAAATAAGAGGTAAACACTGGGACTGAGCCGGGGAATAACTCCATTAAAGCACTGGATCCTGTCTCCCTCATGCTCACCAAATTCACCATACTTATTAACATAACATGACAGGAATCTGTACATTGATTATTGCCTTTGGAGGGGTAGAAAATTTATGGACTGACCTTTTCTCATCTCTGATTTGATCAGAAAGATTGAGGAAATTAAACAGATAGAAGGAGAGGGTTTTTTGGTGTGGTTTGAGTTTTTATTTATTTAAAATAGATGAATTTTTCTGCAGCTGGGTTTGTTTTTGGATGTGGCTCTGGTGTGATTTTTCTGACAAGCTTCTAGTGAGACCATTTTGTTTTTCTTTCAGCCCTATTTTCACCAGTGCTTTAAGTGCAGTTTTCTCTAAGTGGGACCTGCCTGTTCTCACCTTGCCTTTCAACTTGGCCTTGACCCTCTACCTGGCTGCTTCAGGACCACACAACCTCTTCTTCCCCACAACTATCATTCATCCTGCAACAGCAACCCCGAATATCACCTGGGCAGATGCAGAAATCACAATGGTAGGACGTCATAAGGGTAACAGTCTCCTTCATTTACAATTAAAAAACAATACAGAAATTTATTATCTTCCTTTATAGATTCCTATGGTTTGTGTTGGATGGGACCTTAAAGTTCATCCAGTCCCATCCCCTGCCATGGGCAGGGACACCTTCCACTGTCCCAGGCTGCTCCAAGCCCTGTCCAGCCTGGCCTTGGACACTGCAGGGATCCAGGGGCAGCCCCAGCTGCTCTGGGCACCCTGTGCCAGGGCCTGCCCACCCTCCCAGCCAGCAATTCCTTCCCAATATCCCAGCTGGGCCTGCCCTCTGGCACTGGGAAGCCATTGCCTGTGTGCTGTCCCTGCAGGCCTTGTCCCCAGTCCCTGGGCAGCTCTCCTGGAGCCCCTTTAGGCCCTGCCAGGGGCTCTCAGCTCTCCCTGGAGCCTTCTCTTGTGCAGGGGAGCAGCCCCAGCTCTCCCAGGCTGGCTCCAGAGCAGAGGGGCTCCAGCCCTGGCAGCATCTTTTCACCCTCCTCTGGGCTGGCTCCAATAGGCCCACCTCCTTTGTTACTGCATTATGGCCTGGCAGTACAAAATCTGATTTATAAGAGAACTATTACCCAAAATATAAGGGTTTACTCTAGGAATGTACATTTTTGATAGCCTGAAAATGAGAACTTCTTCATGTGCAGTTGGATAAAAGGGTATAGATAAAAATCTTCAAACACTCTCTTGAATCTAATTACCCATTTCTATTTCTATGCATATACTGATCATCTCCCCATAGCTAAGGCTGTGCTGAGAATGCCAGTTAACTCACAGGGTAATTTTAATTTTTCAGATACAGGCTGTTTATAAAATTGCATCTTTCTGATTAGACATGAGCAAGCAGATATTACTGTGATAGAATGGTTAAAAACTTGGGAGCAGGTACAGTCACATAATTTTAATTTATATTCAAGTGGGACCTTTCCAAAGAAACACTTTCTTCTTCTGGATTACACCATAAACAATACAGATATCAGAGTAACTATTTTCTCCTGAGGCTTAGCTGATTATTTTAAGGGGTTCCCAGGGAGTGATTAAGAAAAGAAAGTTAATTGACACTAAATAGTAACCCATAAGTGGCATTTCTCAAAGAACATTGTATGTATTATGGGGACTGCATACGGAAAAGTGCCTCAAAAACATCTTGTGATGAAGCTGGGCTCTGTCTCCCACCAGCCCAGCAACTCTTGCTCATATTTCTAACAAATCCCAAGGGAACCATCCCTCAAGTTCACTCTCATAGGTCCCTATGGATATGTAAAAATGGTCAAGCCAGCAGCACATGCAAGGAGGATGATTAAACCCTTTCACAAAATGTTTATCTCTGATCTTAGAGCAAAAGCCTGGCAGAGGAGCTCAGGTCTAGGGAACAAGCCATGATTCATTTTCATTGAAGGGGAAACCCTGCGGAAATGCCCTGCTGTCTCCTGAGACGTGTCCAAATGTTCCACTTAGAAAGACTGCATCCAACAAATGCCAAACATGAGCCTGGCCAAGAAAAATAGCTTTAAAAAAACCAAATGTTACAAAGCTTAAAATTGTCTTGTTTGTTTTGTTTTGTTAATTTCTACAGCTCCTGCAATCCATTCCAGTCGGCGTGGGCCAGGTTTATGGCTGTGACAATCCCTGGACTGGGGGAATTTTCCTAATTGGTTTATTTATCTCCTCTCCACTCATTTGTGTCCACACACTGATCGGCTCAGCAGTGGGGATGCTGGCAGGTAAAGATTTGGTTTGTGCCAGAGATTTATATAAAAGCATGGAGAATAAAACAGGAACTACAATAAGTGGAGCACTTAAAGTCACAAGTATTTCACCCACTGGAGAATGGCTGCTTGGAAACAAAATATAAAACTTCTGTTTTAAGGATTCTTTTGACTGACTTTCCCATTCTCTTATCTTGTTTTATGATGGTGGAAATCTTCAGAAGAAAGAGGTGTCTGTTGTGCTGAGGTTAATTTTTACCACAAAACACTTAATTTCTGGCTGTGTCTTCCTGGTTTTAGGAAGAGATCCATGAAAATCATAGCCATCAGACTGAATGAGCTGGCCTAGGGATGCATTTAAGGTTCAAATGTAGGTTCATTCACTCACATGTGTTCTGTTGAAATCAAATCACCAAATTCAGCTCAGCCACAACAGGGAAATTCTGCCACGATTCCCTTAGACCACAGCAACACAACTACAAACAGCTCCATGTACAAATTCTGGCTGGGACCTTTGAAAAATCTGTATTCATGCCACTTCTCCATTGCTTTTATCTCCTTGGCCAAGGAATGACACCTCTCTGACTTTATTTTCCAGGGCTGAGCTTAGCAACGCCGTTCAACCAAATCTACCTGGGGCTGTGGGGCTACAACAGCTCCCTGTCCTGTGCTGCCATCGGGGGCATGTTCTTGGCTCTCACCTGGCAGACACACCTCCTGGCCATGGCCTGTGGTAGGTACCCAGCAGGTTTTCACCTCCCTTTGAAGTGAGACAGGATGCAGCAGAGGTGGGCTGGAGCCAGATGGGCACCTCCAGGCAGGCAGATGGATGTAGGTGAGGCTGACGAGTGGTGGAGCTGGGTGTTGGAGCCACGGCTTTAACCCACCCTGTGCTTTCATTTTTGGCCAAGAGTTGTGTTTAAAGCAAGAGCTGTGATCAGTGGACACATGCTATCTAAGGTCTTTGAAATCAGATGCTTTGTTTTGAGTCATTAATTGTGTTTGTTCGCTCATTGCTGGATGAATCATGCTGGTTTTTTTCCAGCCATAGATACCAGCTCAAATTCCTTCTTTGAAGAGGGACATGCCTAATCTTTGAGAAGAGTGGAGCTCTACTGTAGTTAGACAGTACACATTCCCCGTTCTCTTGAAAAGGATCAAAGGCATGAGCTGGGCAACACAGCAGGATTGAAGAATTATTTATAAGGCAATTCCATATGAAATTTCAGTATTGCAGTGAGCTGTGAGTGAAACTATTGCTCATTCAGTGCTCATATAAGAAAGATTTAACTCTGTATGTCATTGACCCCCCCTTCAAGCCCTGGAGGCAGGACAAATGAGGGTGGAAGGGTTATTTTCCTATTTAACCCCATCCATCAGGCTACATACATTCCGTGACGGTGAATTTTTCAAAAGCCCATGATACCATAGCACATTTTTCATCGCTCCAGTTTTGTTTGTTTGTTTGCTTGCTGGTTTGTTTTGCCCCTCCCACATGCTCCAGGTTGGAGGAGACACAGGAAGGGGTTCAGCAGGGTACCATCCAGAGAGGGTCATAATCATTAGCTGAGCTACCCAAAGCAGAATGAGAGGTGTTTGTCATTGCTGATCTGCTCCACAAGCAACTGAACTCACCAGGAACTGCCTTTCTTTTTCACAGCACTCTTCACTGCCTACCTGGGAGCAGCAGTGACCCACATGCTGTCTGTGGTGAGTAGTGTATCAGCTGAGGGCTGGTTTCTAGCACTGAATTTCCCTGGCTTGTCAGAAAAAACACCAGGATGTGGAGAAAAATCCAGCAAAAGGAAGAAACAGTCTGGGAGAGGGGTTACTATCTGCTCAGGGGGTTGGTGTAATTCCCACTGGAACAGGCGACTTGGACTCTTGACTTACCACTTTCCATCCTTGGAGTTTGCATGAGCTGCCACAGCTCAGCTCTAGACACTATGAAATCACAGAAACCATGAAATTATGAAATCACAAAACCATGGAAAGGTTTGCATTGAAAGGCACCTTAAAGCTCACCCAGTCCCACCTCCTGCCATGGACAGGGACACCTTCCACTGTCCCAGGGTGCTCCAAGCCTCATCTATCCTTGAACACTGCCAGGGATCCAGGTCCAGCCACAGGTTCTCTGGGCACCCTCACAGGGAAGAATTTCTTCCTCATATCCCATCTAGCCCTGCTCTCCGTCAGAGGAAAGCCATTCCCTTTATCCTTTCTAGGCCCTTGCCCAAAGTCCCTCTCCAGCCCTCCTGGACCAGCTTTAGGCACTGGCAGGCTACAAGAACACCTCCCCTCTTTCAGACATTTACTTCATGCCTGATGCAATTGGAAAAAGGGCCCTGCATGTGTGTAAAGAAACATTAAATTTGGGTTAACTGCTTTTCTCCATTGCCAAGTACAACAGCCCAGGGGAAAGCCAAATGTTTCTGCTATCCACTCTGCTGTGGATACCTCATGTCCTACCTCATGTCCACCCAAGAAACCTTCACCATGGCAGGTGCACACCAGCTCACCAGAGCTGGTAAATGCTGCAGGCTAATTCGAAATGTCAAGACCTCATAAAGAAACCCAGCCTCCCTAAGGAAAGACTCGATGCAAAACCAAGTCTAGACTTTCTCCAGAAACCTTGTTCCGAGGTGGCTGGCTCTGAGTGGTACTCTAATAAAGGACACATAGTAAACAAAATAAAATTGTTTTTTAATTTGCAGTTTGGGGTGCCATCAGGAACCTGGCCTTTCTGCTTCTCTGCACTGACCTTCCTGCTCATGACCACAAACAACTCTGCAATCTGCAAGCTGCCCCTCTCCAAAGTCACCTACCCAGAAGCCAACCGAGCCTATTATCTGATGATGAAGAAACATGAGAGGTCTTGCTGTGAGGCATAGAGACCCAAGAAGAGAGAACCTCATCAGATTTTAAGGCAGGAGCACGAGGTTTTTGCCCAACAGACTGTGATTTGTGTGCTACCATGTCCAACACCAACTTCTGTGTGGAGAGACTTTTCCCACCACTGGGAAAATCCACTATAATCTGTTTGTGCTATTAAGATTATTTCTACTAGGTAGGACTGTGCTGTGCTGGAAGGACTTTTTCCAAGATCAACCTGTTATGATTTTAAAGCACACATGTCTGAAAAGACACTTGAATTATAAGCAATGGGAAAATTACTTATAAGCTGAAAAGAAAAATCGCTCTGTAAAATTGAAGACACCAAAATCAGACATAAGGAAATAAAGAGCATCTTTCAGCATATGAGGGGGCTTCAAGTTAATGGCTAAACAGCTTATGACAGCAATAGGAGGCATCTTAGAGAGTTTCACTGTGGCAGAGAAATGGAATGAAGAGCACTCTTTGCCAAGTAGAAAATAGGTTGTGAAGAATTCTACCTGGAGGACCTCCCAAACCCTATGGAGAGAGGTGTTCATTAGCAATCAACAAACATAAGATGGACATGATTTTTGTGATTTTTGTGTTAATCTCATGATTTCTCTTAATACTTGAACTTGGTGATGGGTTAGCAAAGGAGGGGACATCAAGAAAGTCATTGCTGTCCCTTTCCTATGCAATATAACGTCTCTGTTCAGTCAATGCACAAATAGAACTAATTTGAGCTGATCTATTCTTAACTTCTCTCCCTACACTGTCCTTCTCAGCCCATGAATATCAAACAGCAAAATTCTGGGACTCAGGAGGCTCAGGGGAGACCTTCTGGCTCCCAGGGAACAGGGACAGGAGGAGAGGGAACGGCCTCAAGTTGTGCCAGGGGAGGTTGAAATTGGATATTGGGGATAATATCTTCATAGAAACAGGCTGTTTGGGGCAGTGGGTGTGTCCCCATCCCTGGAGGGTTCTAAAGACCTTGTGGATGTGGCATGTGGGGACATGGGTTAGTGGTGGCCTTGGCAGCAATTGTGTGATTCTGTGAAGCTGCTGCTCTGCCTTTTCTCTCTGCCCTGCAGTGGGAAAGGGATGTTTGGGGACCAGCAGAGCTCTGCAGGACACCAGCCATGTGCCACCTCTGCCCAGGCTCCCCAGGGGTACAGGTAGGGAAGAGGGAAACTGTCCTTGCACCCCACAGCACAGATCACCTCAACAGGCATTAACTCAGCCACCTTTCTGCCTGGCTCACTGGCAAACTGTCTCATGTGGAAGCTCACATCTTCACCAAAAATATTCCACGTACTCAGGTCCCTCAGCCCACAGGAACCTACATGCATTAATGTCACACCACGAAAAGAAAATCAAAGCCTGTTTTTCTTGTAGCAGATGAAATAAAATCTAGCGTGATTTTTTGAGTTTGGGAAGGGGAAAAAAAAAATCCCAAACCATGTATTTTTGCAAACATCACAAAGACCTGAGTGTAAAATATTTGTGATGAAATGTTGGTTGTATCTTCTGGTGAAGTTTTAGGTTTTCAGATGTTCAACAGTATTTCTGTATGACTGACACTCACTTGTAAAATGTAGCATTTCCATGATTTACTTAATAAATATCTACATAATATTCTGTGGAGTTAATTTCTAAAACAAGCACTCTTTTTTTTTGAGTTTAGTATAAGTTTCTCCCTCTTTATTATCATTAAATTCTTCCAAGAATAGGCTACCTCTTAAACAACTAGTGTAGAAGACATTGGAAAATAAAATTTTTAAATCAGTGTGTGGGGGATATAGAGGAAACTTCCAAATTCTGCTCTTCGTGCTTATCACAGAATGATAGAATCACAAAATTGTTCGGGTTAAAGCATTCTTTTTCCACCCCTCATGCCATGGGCAGGGACACCTTCCACTGTCCCAGGCTGCTCCAAGCCCTGTCCAGCCTGGCCTTGGACACTGCAGGGATCCAGGGGCAGCCCCAGCTGCTCTGGGCACCCTGTGCCAGGGCCTGCCCACCCTCCCAGCCAGCAATTCCTTCCCAATATCCCAGCTGGGCCTGCCCTCTGGCACTGGGAAGCCATTGCCTGTGTTCTGCCCACCCAAGACTGAGCTAAAATCCTTCTCCAGCTCTCCCTGGAGCCCATATAGGCACTTGAAGGAGCTCTAAGGTCTCCTCACAGCCAGGATGAACAGCCCCAGCTCTCTCAGTCCTTTGGCACATTGCAGCATCAAACCTTCTTAAACCTGCGAGTGCAAAGTCTGGTTCCATACAGGAGGCACAAGCAGGCCAAGGCACAGCACTAGGTCAACAGAGCTGTGGTCAGACCCACAAAAACCTCCTCAGGACCAGGCAGTGATTCATTCCTAGGGAAGATGCTGGCCAGGCCCCCAAACTGAGGTTAGATGAGGTGATGCTCTGTCTAAAATATACCTGGAGCAGGCACAGAGGGCCTTAGAGATGCCCTAGGGTTTGGAGTTCCTCTGCTTTGGAGCCAGGCTGGGAGAGCTGGAGGTGTTCACCTGGAGAAGAGAAGGCTCGGGGGAGATCTATTTGTGGCCACTCAGTAGCTAAAGATCTCTTTAAGGAAAATGTGGACAAACTTTTTATCAAGGCCCACTGCAATGGGAAAAGGGTTGACTATTTTAAACTATAAGAGGATAAATTCTGATCAGATAAAAGGAAATTGTTCATGGGTAGGCTGATGAAGCACTGGCATAGGTTGCTCAAAGATATGGTGGATGCCCCATCCCTGGAAAAAGTCAAGGTCCAGTTGGACAGGTCTCTGAGCCACTTGGTGTAGTGGAAGACATCCCTGCTTGTTGCAGGGAGGGACTGATGACCTTTAGGTGTCCAACACAACCCAAGCCATTCTCTGGTTCTGTGATTTATCAAACTGTAGTGTAAAAGGGTATTTTAATGTCTGAACCGAGATCTCCCCACCCAGGACCATGAGTGCCCCAGAGAGGCAAATCTACAAAGGCTGCTTTCACCCTTATGTCAAAATATGCACTCGAGCAAGAGAACACAATTTATGTCCAAAATATGTCCAGTGTAAATCAGCAGATTTCCTCTGACTGGTGCTATTCCAGCCTTCTGTTGCTGAGCAACAGGGACATTTTGGCAGTATCATAAAGAGATCATACACACAGAACTGAAAAACAACAAAAGATGAAGGCCATGTCCCAGCCATTTAGAAAGGTTTTGCACATCATTCAGAATTATTTCTACATTTTACACTATCCAGCAAATTTATTCTTCCCATCACCCCTCAGAAAATAACAGCTATTTGGAAAATTGACGTGTAAGTCACTCAGAACATGCATATTATGCTTTACCCCATTATTGTTCAAAACACTGTCTCTGCTAACAGAACTAATTCATCTTATGGCTGAAACTGGGGTTTTTGGTTAAGGTTTTTTTTTTTTTTCTTTATATCAAATAAATACTATTCAGCCCATCCTTCTTTTTCCACCACCCTTTTTTCACTGTTGTTTCCAATACACAGGTGACACGAGACTCATAAGAAACACACTGGGCAGAAATTTTGGGGTATTTTCCTGAACTACCTCCCTCCCACTGCCAGCAAAGAGATGTCACTGTGTTTACAATTCTTACAAGAAATACACATATACAAAAAATAAGTAAATACTACTAAAAAATAATTCACAGGGGAAAAAATAAAAACAAATAAACAAAAACATAAATAAAAAAGTTTAAAAAAAAACTAACTACTGGGAAACATCTGCTTGGATTCACATTTTATCCAAAAGTCTAATTCAAGTAAACTGCCTGACAGCCAGTTCCTGAGCCACTCTCACTGATGATGTCTGATGTGCATAATTCTCCCCAATACTCTCAGTTTCATGTCAAGTGCTCCAATGTGGGGAAATGCAAAAATGCAATGTCCTTTATCTGATCCTCCAGGACTGCTGCAGGTTCTGTTTGGTTTTACTGCGCTGCACATGAAATATAAACAGTATGAAGAATGCTGATAATTATCTAATCTTTTGAATCTTGACACTAAGTGTGAAGGAATTGACACAGAATTTGGCCAGAGCTGGGCATAAATCACTCGCTGAGAAAGATGCTACCCATGAGGAAGCAGGGCTGTGCATAGAAAAGATTATTGCTTGATTATTTCTTGATTGTTTCCCTCTCTCTCAGAGTGCAAGGACTCCATGATAGGTAAATTGTTAGGCACAAATTAACACCTTTCTGAAGTTTCTCTTTGTCTTGCCATGGAAAACTGCCTTCAGGTAAGACCTATTTTGCTACCAGCAGTTGAGCTTTTTCCAGTTTTGGAATGAGATGATGAAACAATATAACTCACAAAGCAAAGACACCTCAGTGACTTAGGGCCCTCACTCTCCATATTCTCAGAGGCACAGATAGACCATGGCAATCAATTTCATATATATTGAAACAGAAACTGTTTAAACAGGACTTGGAGGCCTTAATATTTCAAAGATGTGGGTCAGAAAGATCATTTTGGGTCTCCAAAGGTGCTTTACTTGCAAAGGGGCTGTGAAGGTTAAGTTGGTTACCTGGAGGTTGACTTGCTACCACATTCCAGGGCATGGCAGAATCACAGAAGAGAATCACAGAATGGTTAAGGCTGGAAAATATTATCAAGTTCTCCCCAGTACTGCCAAGGCCACCACTGACCCATCTGCCCAAGTTCCACATCCACACAACTTTTAAATCCCTCCAGAGATGAGGACTGCACCGCTGCCCTGGGCAGGACCAGCCAGGGCTGGACAATCCTTCCAGTAAAGAAATTTTTCCCTAATATCCAACCTAAACCTCTCCTGGTACATCTTGAGGTTGTTTCCTTAAAGTAAAAAAAAAAAAAACAAAACCTCATCTTCATAAAGTTCACCATTTAGGTTGGAATATATCTCTAAGATCACTGGCATGAGGATTTCCCAGAACAAATTCAAACTCTTAGAAGGGAGCAACAAAATCAATCCTGTGAACAAACAGAAGCACCTGTGAGCTGAAATACAGCCCAGTTGTACTTGGAACACAGGAGCAATTGCTTCCATTTTAAGACCAGTGATGTCATCGACAGTAAATTTTTGAGTTAAATAAAACCATATATGCACAGTTGCAAAAATGGGAGTTCAAACACAAACACGTTTTTAGAAAATCTGTATTTTTTTTTCCTTTTTACTGCTCATGAAAATATATAGATTAGAAGAAAATGGATAGAAGCCATGGTCTTAGGGAAACTGACTAACTACAAATTCCCTCACTTTAGATTAAACATTCTTGGATTGGTCATCAGTTTAATCGGATAAGGCTGAGATCAGTGGGAGGTTAAGGATCAGATTTGCTAATTAGAACACTTAGAGAAATAATTCTAGGAAAAGCCTGCCCCTGGAATGGTGCACTGGGAAGGAAAATAATTTTTTCAAGTGGAATTTTCCAGCAAACTGTTCTGGTGCCTCAGTTGCAAAGCAGCTACAAAACTCATGGTGGTGCATAGTTTTGGTGGGGGTGTGATTCCGTGTAGGAAAATGCCAGCCCAGAGGAGGCCACGCAGCTGCTGCCAGGGCTGGAGCCCCTCTGCTCTGGAGCCAGCCTGGGAGAGCTGGGGCTGCTCCCCTGCACAAGAGAAGGCTCCAGGGAGAGCTGAGAGCCCCTGGCAGGGCCTAAAGGGGCTCCAGGAGAGCTGCCCAGGGACTGGGGACAAGGCCTGCAGGGACAGCACACAGGCAATGGCTTCCCAGTGCCAGAGGGCAGGCCCAGCTGGGATATTGGGAAGGAATTGCTGGCTGGGAGGGTGGGCAGGCCCTGGCACAGGGTGCCCAGAGCAGCTGGGGCTGTCCCAAAGTTGGAAGTTCTGGCCGTATGAGGATCCAGGATACCTCCCCTCTGATTCACTTCGGCATAACCCATCATCATTTATCTCCAACTCTAAGCCCTAAACTGTGTGGGTGACCCAGCCCTGCCCACATAAAGAATACCTTAAAACAGAAGCTCTCCCTCCCTGAAGAGAATAATTTCACTCAACAGCAGCTGTCCTATGGTTGTGGCTTAGCAACAAGAGGCACCTCTGCACAGCTTTTCTGCCAGGCAACTTCCAGCAGTGAGCAAGCCTGCCACATGAACAAAATAGTTTTTCCACAGAACAAACAAACCCCCTGAGAATTATTCAATTCTGTTCTTTGTCCCAAGATATACCTCCTCTTTTTGGCTATCCCATCGTGAATGGCTCTTTGAGCCATCACTCCCTTTTCCACTTCCCCTGGTTTGCTCGCAGTGGTGGTGCACATGGTCACCAACCCCTCTGGGAAAGAATTCTGACTTCTCCACACCACTGAACATTTCAAATTCACTAATCCTTGACATTCTTTAGCCACAACACCCTGCAGTTTCTAACAGAGTTTATTTGGTGTCTCCTTGCACCCATGTTCCTTCACTGTCCCTCTGCAGTCATCCATGAGCAAGCTCCTTACTGGAGTTCGCTCCACCCCACCTGCCCTCAGCAGCCTCTTGGAAAGTACATACCACTCATTTCTCTCCTGAAAAAACCTAAAGAGACAGAATTCCAT